ATGAACCTGGCTTGAATAAATCTTTATTTTATAGGTAGAAGTCATACCCTTATCATGCTATCATTCTCAATATAGCGGCTTATGTCTCAGCATGGCACCGCTAACCAGCGTACACGCACATTACCTAATCCTGCAAAGGGTCTGTTGATCACCGTTTTCTTTCCATCCTCCGATAACTAATTTTTAAAAATTGATACTGGGACGACAACAGAAACAAAGGTATAAACTGTGACGACTGACATGACTTATACACCGACGTTTGATGGTCGCAGAATCAATAAATACCCCGAAAATTTTCATATTTTTCCCTCACCAACATAGTAAATTTGTCATACAACTTTAAGTTACAAACCGACTAATGCCATCAAAGGGAGTAAAAACAACTACGAGTCCATTTTCGTCATTTTGGACTAAAGATCGTGCGGTTAAATGAACAAGCTTTATACCCGAGATAAAAGCATTTTACCCATAGTAGCTGTATTCTAATACGTATAACAAGAGTTCGGCCATAAATGTTTGACCAATCGGAGGTTGATCAAGCCAGGGGGACGAACGAGGTACATGAAGCCACTACATGCACTGATCTTTATCCGACTTATTTATCCTGTGTCGGCGCAGGGCCTCTGTGCATCATGGGGCGGAACACAGATTACCAAAACGGCAACACTTAACGACAGAAAAAGTCAGTTTGCGGCGTTTAATAAATTTCCATGGACAAACAAAAGTGGCATGTTGCACAGGAAAAGGGTCGTGTTTGCTTGGCCATTCACCAGTTGCCTTTGTGATTGTGTCATCTGTCAAGTCACAGCTAGCTAATGAAAGGTCTGGGTAGGTGGGTTTCATATTTCCCCGCTTCTTATTACCTCCAACGACTGATAACTGCCACATAAGTCGCCCTGTTCTGCGCAATCATTTCTTTCCTTGCTTGAAACAAATAGAAGATGAAAATAAGAGTGGACTGGAAAGCGTTTGTCCAGTTTCATACCGAAGATCCACTGTGACTGCTTAAAAAATCTTGGCAAATCCTTAAGGTAAATATATGCTTTGCTCCAAACTTATTTTGCTGACAAAACTGCGAGAAGATAAAAAAGTCTTTCGGAAGGGAAGCTGTCTCAATAGGATAAAAATTTCGAGAAATCACCTAATAATTATAGCGCTTCAGTATACAGAATTTGGCAATTTCAATTTTTTAATCTTTACTACACGTTTTTGGCTCAAGTGACGCTTTTTTAGCATATACTACTTAGAATCAAAACGTAAAATGCCATAGTGCATTATTTTTAAGTCCAAAACATCATAATTATTTTTGAAAATGAAAGAAAATTCATAGCTGCAATTCGCAACTTTTTGAATCGAACATCTTGGTGACGTAGGAGGGAAGCAAATTTCCCAGATGTACGTATGTGTGTTTTGCGATATTGATTTCTTTTAAGGAGAGAAAAGATACGCAACAAAGCCCTCTTCTTAAAGATTGTATCTGAAAAAAATCCTAATTTTATTATTTTCCGGATCAATCTTGTAATGCTAATTTATTTTGACTTTACTTTGGCTGATGAATAACGCCTATCACACCACGATGATTAGAATTGTTATTTAATAAAACGAAAAGACAAATAACAGTCTGCAGAAAAACAAACTCTCCGTGATTTTGTGATATTTTCTGACAATATTTGTTGTGAAAAAGTGACTAAATTCGGATTAGGTCAATATTTGATTTAGGTTTACAATACTCGTTGTCTATTGTAAATATGAGATTTTCTGTGTCGAGGTTTTTCATCGTGCTCGTGGTTTTTGTAAACATGTGTAAGGGGGCATCTGGTGGTAAAATGCGGTTTATGGTTAAGAGTAGCCGAAAGCAGTCATTTGGGCCACCTGTGTTATAAAATAAGAGATAAAACCACCAAAGTGTTTCTTTACAAGGATGCGGAGCCGTGGTATTGAAAAGAAATGATAAGGAAAATTTTCCCATCTATATCAGTTGCGTAGTGAGCATAGTGCTGGCCTATTTCAGCTACCAGATTGAAGTGCATTACAAATCAAATTTGTTAGATGTAATTGAAATCAGTTAAGTTCACAAATTGAGAAAAAAGAAATTGTCATTTCCGTAAACATAGTCCAGAGTTTTCTCCTACAAATTACATCCGGCCTTTCGTTTCGTTTCGTTTTGTTTTGTTTTTTATTTTTTTTGCAAAAAAAAAAGCCGGGAAATCAATCAACTTTAAAGCGTGGCGAGTGTTACATGGTACCTGTGGCTTTTTCGGATCGACCTCTTGGCTCCAGTTTCGAGTTGCATGGTGATGAAAAAAATTCCTAAGAACCTCACAGACTGACACTATCTCGACAATGTCTCTGTTCTTGATCTTTTTATAAACTTTATGACTTAACAGGGTTACATTGTGCTTGAATAATACACATTTTTGACAAGATACGGTTTCATTTGTTGGATGGGTATCGAAGGTTTTGCTCGGCTTCACACACTTCTAAAGGATTTGCTTACTTCTACAAAAAAAGAAATCAAAAGACAGAATTTGCCGTCATCAAGTTGTAGGCAAGTTATCATCCTAATCACTTCCATCATTGCCCAGAAGCCCCTAGTAGTCGAAGGTTTGAATTTTTTTACCGCAGTAATCATACATATCTAGGAATTCTCCAGTCGACGTCAGGACCTTACTGAGAATATTGAACAGCTAAGCAGTCAACTTATGAGACTTGAAAGATTCCAATTTTATATATTTGGAGCTGTATAGAAAAAACAGTTATAGGAACGTTCACACCTGATTCGTATAGTCAATCTTTCCTTATAAATATTTTTTTTAATGAAGCATAGGAGAGCTTAAAAGCTCTCCAATTCTACATCTAAGAAGATAATTTCGTGTCGATTAAGCTGTAGTTTCATTGTTTCATCCTTGTTTTTTCACACCTCTTGAGTTCTATAGTTTGTTGGTAGATGACCACCCATGTGTCAGTGTAAAATTGTGGCAACCATTGTTTTATTTTTCCCTAATATCATTAGTGTCATTATTATCGTTATTATTATTACTATTGTCATAGTCCAGCTCAGTGGCTTATGTTTCATGACAGAGCGGTAAAACACGAGGACTGGGCGCTACCCCAAGCTTAGAGTAAAACTGAAAGAGCGTGAGGATTTGCTTCTCCCATCAATTTTACACAACAGTAAATTTAAATTGTTCTACAAAAAGCTAAGGCTTAAAATAAACTCCATATATCATTTGTTATTAGGCTAGAAACTTTGTAAGATGATTTTAAGTCTTAGAGGAGAGGGTTGGTTATATGACTATAGCTACCAAGAGATTTTAAAATCTCTTGTAGCTACTGCAAACAAGTGTAAATTACGAAGATGGCCACATTCGTGCGCTTGTTTTAATAAGAATAATTTGGTTCTAATTTTAATATTTCATCGGAGTTACGATCAGTGAACCCACAATAATATCATAAACCGATTGACTTATTTTCATAGATATGGCGTGATTTCTGAATGGGTTTGATAACCTTCAACGCATCTTTGTCCTCCCTTGTAACGTGTTTTCTAATTCTATTAGTAAGTCATAGCTCACCACAGTATTTGCTTGGTAGTAACAATGCAATTTGTTTGAATAGTAAGGCGCAAAATCACACCTGCATTCTGAAGTGAAGGTGATTTTCTCAGAAACTGTTACCTGTGAACTGAACCGTTGGTGGATAGATCCTGCTATAGATGACAGGAAAACAAGCCAATTTTCAATGAGAAAAAAAAAAAACACTCAAAAGCTTACTGAGTATTAATCCGCACTGTAGAGAGTAACACAGTTATATTTCCACTCTTCGCAATACTATTTTCTTATATCCGATACGTACGTTTTAAGCAAGAAAACATCTGGGTCAAAACCCCAAAAATTGTGCCGATCTGTGAAGATAGCTTCAAACATTTCCTCCAAAAAAGTGCTATTAAACCGATAGATATCAAATCATTTTATCAAATATTAGCATTAAGGAAATCATTCATGAGTTTAAGCCCCGATACAAACCGCAGAAGGACGTTAACCTGAAAGCACTCTTGTCTTAGATGCCGGTTACTCAATGGTCAGTGTAAATATAATGCTAATTTGAAAGCCAAATACATCAAATGAATTACGAACCTTTAGCTACAATTTCGTTTCTCCAAAATGCAAGGGGAAGCAAATCGTTTGATGAAGTCATAGATGAGACGTCCCCAAAATATACATCAGAAGTGACCTCATGATGAGAACCATTTCCTTTACAAACAATCTCTTGGTTGCTGTTTTCTTAGTATACAAACGGAACAGTTTTCAGAGTTGAAAGAAATATGGCTTTGCTCAACATACCAGGCGGTTTATTCAAATGCAAATGTACATCTGGACAGACCCGCCGCGTCATAGGTGCTTTATTCGTAGATGTTAAAAGCGTGTCTCTGCGACATTAAATAGACAAGGCTCTACAACTGAAAAACTTCCTTTTGAAACCTACTTACCGATTTAAGGCTTGCTATTAATAGCACTCACTGTGTCTTCGTTGGTTGACAGTAATGGATAGAGAGGCTGTGTGTCATCCACAAAATTTGACTGCAATGGCCGGTTTCAGCTTCCAGCACGCTGTGATTTAGTAAAGAGGGAGAATGGATTAGTAACAAATGGATTCCAGTCCTCATTAATCACTGTTATCTCAAATTAGTCTTGGTGATTCCTCCCTCTTGCCAGCTTTTTGTTTTAAGTTTTGAATTTAATCCGTGGCCAGAATCGCTTCTTATGAGGGTGGAGCAATTGAAAACATTTGGAGAAAAAAAAAAAAAAAAGAAAGAAAAAAATATAATCGTAATTATAGGTAAACATGTACAAATAGCTTTCGGCAGTGGATGTTAACATTAAATGAAACTTACTCTCTTTAATTGTCTTTAGTCTAACCATAAATTAGTTTCGACCACAATGGAAAATTAATAACACTTTTTATGCTAAATTTCCGTTTTGAAATGTCTTTAATCGTAGTTCACCTGCTGGTGAGAGTAAGTTCTATATTTATTCTGCATTATCGTTTATCATCTGGGTGAGCTATTTTGATCCTCAGAAACTCGAGGATGTTCAGTTAACGCAGTTTGATAAGGTACAGTTTTGTGATATAAATAGTGTTGGGCTGTCGGAGATACACAGTAGCTTTGAATAGTAATGATGAACAGCTGGAAGCAATATCTAATGGATTTGACACCCTACTGTTGGAAAACTAGAAAAACTACCCTGAAGCCAGTTAATTAGATTCAGTAGCTAAAGGTGTTTTTCTTTGAACTTTTTTATTATTTTTTTATTTTTTATCTCAGCCAGAAGTGCAGAGCTGCAATGATTTTGTACCAGCTCTCTGCGAAGCCTAATTTTACAAAACATACTAGACACGTTGTATGGGACTAAAAAAAATATCTTTTGTTTTGGTACATGACTGTCTGATCGGCCACCGACATTTTGTTGGGAACAATTCTTCTCCTTTCCTTAATGCACCTTAAACCTCTAATTCAGTGTTACCTCTCGCTGGATATTTGGCTATGATTGTTAGTCAGGGCATCAAACAGCTAGATAGAATGGCCAATATAAAATGCTGATTTAAAAGATCAACTTATACCAGTATGAATTACCCTTCAGCTTCCCTCAATGAGTCATCCTTTAGTCAGCGTCTTGTGGCATCTTAGTCATGCGGTTAGCTTAAAAGAGGCTGGTTGGTTTACAGTTTTTTACTTGAAATTTTGATTATTAGTTTTCTGGGTCTCTTTTTTTTTTCAGGTAAATTATTTGAAAATAAGTTCCATAGGGCGAGATGAACAACAGTAATGTGACTGATGAAGGCAGATTGCCAGATTGTCCTCCTTGGGATACCTCTTCCGCCGCGCTCCAATGGATCAAGACCATTGTGTACCTATTCATTCTATTTTTGGCCCTATTTGGAAATACCTCGGTAATTTGGATCATATTCAGGCATCGGAGAATGCGAACAGCAACGAACTATCTCATTGCAAATATGGCGGTGAGTGTACTTATAACTTTTTTCATAAAAAACCTCTTGAAAACTAGGAACTTGGCGCCTATAGAGAGGCTAAAAAATTGTCGTACAATCGTCGAAAATTCTTCGTCATGATCTATCATAAAGGAAAGCAACTGAAAGAAATGACGAGGTCATCACGTAAATCGATTTATCGTTAAAGACCGAGTGAACATAAGTTGGCTTCCTTTCATTGGTGCGAAATTTCAGTTCAGAAAGAGTTTCCAGCAATATATGTAACTCGGGGTAACCCTGCTGTTCAGACGCCGCATTTAAGAATTAAATCTATCTAAAGAAGGGATTCTGAATAACTTAGAAATGCCTAATCAATTCCAGATTGGTCAAGCTATTCTTCAAACATGGCATGGCCAGAAATAACGGCTTTTTTGCCTTTACGTTATCCGCCGAAATTCAAAAGATAGAACAAGCAACTTGATTGAGAAGCGATTCAACCGGGCCCAATTAATTTCTATTCTTTCATTTTTTATTTCTTTTACTTGGACCAAATATTCTCCGCCTCTTCAGACGTTCCGATCTTCCGAGGCAATCTTAAGATTACTTTGGGCGATATAAATCCGAAATAGATTTGGATCACGTGAAATACGACGTCTGAACTGACGATTACAGGAAGCATGCGCACAACGCAAGTTACATTGGAGAGTTCTAATTCCAACAATATATCTTTCAGGTTGGTGATCTATTGATGGCTATGATAACCATGATACCTCATGCGGTGAACATGTTCCGTGGGAGTCACGACTGGGTTAGCGACTCGCTCTTTGGACAAATATCCTGCAAACTTTTCCTGTTCACCCAAGGCTCTTCCATGGCGTGCTCCATATTCACTCTAACAGCACTGGCTCTTGAGCGCTTCTTTGCTGTTGTTTTCCCAATCTGGAAAGTTGTTAATATAAAACGAACAAGATGGCTGGTTGGTTTCATTTGGATGGGATCTATTGCCTCGGCATCGCCGTTGTTCTATGCAGCCAAAGTGATAATCTATGCCGGAGTTCCCTTCTGCCTCGAGGAGTGGGCCCCCGCTTTTGACGGAAAAAGATCGCAGTCTATTTTCACCATTGTGTCATTTGTGCTCCTCTATGTATTGCCTTTACTTTTGATTTCTGTCTTGTACTCAATCATCATTGCCAAGGTATGGGGTAGGAATATACCGGGTAACGTTACTCCGGCCAACCAGCGGCTCTTGAACAGGTCGAAGAGAAATGTACTTAAGATGTTGATCTCAGTGGTTGTAGCGTTTGCGCTGTGCTGGTGTTTAATGCACCTTAATCTGATTTTGATGGACTTCACAGACATTTTCTTGCCTTGTGGTATCCCTATAGGACTCCAAACCACTGGTTTTCTTTTTGGCCATGCAAACAGTGCTATAAACTGCTGCATCTATTTGATATTCAGCCAGGATTTCCGACGAGGAATGAAGGATATACTGAAGCCCCTTTTACCAAACCGAGCGGCGACTTTACTTGTTGATAACACTCGAGCCGGCTCTTCTTTGGATGCAACAGTTGAACTCAAAACCAGCTACAGGCAGGGCAGACCGCAAGCGAGATCATTTAAAATCATACAAGTTTAGACAAACCTTCTTTAAAGGTGTTGCTCGCGATTTTCTGACTCACCTTCATTGGTAAAGAGAAAAGAGAATCACCTTTCAGTGTAATGAAGCCACGAAGAAAATCATTGGCCAAAGTAGATGACCAGCAAAGAAGTGAGAACAATCCAAATGGAAACAAAGATGGATTAGCAATGGAGAAAATTGACACTAACTGTGAACTGATGAATTCGAAAAGATCGACAAGCCGCAAGGCAGCCATTATGAGAAGAGGTCAGATGGATACGCAGTGAGGTAACAATCGTGAGAAAGTTTCAGAGTAGATGGCGCCAGAGAGGTTCTATGCTATGAACTTCTTTAACCTTTAACCCCTAAGGGAGTGACTAACATCTAATTTCTCCTTGCATTATAACCCCTAAATCAAACAGTAAGGTTACGAGAATTAAGAAAATGATCATCAACTGAAAAAGCTTTGGAAAGTTTGACAAATTCTCCTTGTAAGTACCTCAGGAAATGAATAGAGAAAGGTACGGAGAATATGCATAATGATGTTAAGGTGTTCATGGTTCAACAAGGAGACGAATTTGAAGACTTCAAAGCCGATGTCACGATTCTGTAAATAGCCACTCATGTTTCCAGTTATCTCTTGAATTTTCAGAATTTTTCTTTGTTTGTCAACACTCTCTACTACAGAAAGCAACAGATTTTATTATATAGATACTGATGGAATACCAGGATTTCTCCCCTTACTAAAAAATATCATCGCTTCACCGCGCGTAGTGAAGATACTATTTTTATCTTTCACGTGTGAGGATATTGGTGTGGCCATGGTTACCAACATAATTACCCAATTGCTGTTTCGAAAATGTATAAAAAAAGTTGTCTTTTTTGTGGAAATTTCATCTGTATCTATGTAATAAACAGAACATTACATGGCCGCTTGGGGATACGAATTTTACCTTCTCGTGCTGAAAGTATCTCTCACTCGTTCGCTGCGCTCACGCGTGAGAGATACTTTCAGCACGAGAAGATAAAATTCGTATCCCCAAGCGGCCATGTAATATCCTCTATTTTTCCCCTTGGAAATGTGTCGTGAATATCACTAGTAGTATTGTTGGTTTCCTTAGAAAATCAAAATTGATTCGCACTGAGTGCGGCTGCGTGCGCGTGCCCAGATGTTTAACCCCTGTGTTTCTCAAGGTACGATAGTGGGTGCCGCCATTTTGAATCTTGCCTAGCATTCAAGCCGCTCATCTGTGATTCGTTGGGTGAATGTTTCAAACAGTTAGGAATTCCGTGCGGCGATCTTTGAATTTTGATACATAATTTCCTCTTATGACGGAGATAACGGTTACATGGTTTCTAGATTATACCTTATTATTATTATTATTATTATTATTATTATTATGTCCTTAAAAGATCACAGTGCGGTAGTGAAGTGGATTAAGCGTTGTAAATAATGAACAAAAAGAAATTTGCGTATATTCAAACTTCTCATATACTTTTACACGTTCACCGGCTCAATCGTGAGAAATAGTTTGGGCGGTAAAAGTAAAAATGCAGAGACCACTTTTATAAATGGCTGCCGGATTAATATTCTTTTGTTTAAATTTAAATTAACCCTTCTGGCCTCGCTTGAGATAATGTTTCTTTTGAATTTTGTACTGGAGAACGAGGCCAGAGGGGATAATTTAAATTTAAACAAAAGAATATTAATCCGGCAGCCATTTATGAAAGTGGTCTAT